ATTATCATCAATGTTTCCAAAATAATTGGAAAATATTGATTAATTTGTTTAATCAATTTTTCCTCGGAGTTTTTTCGTATTTATGCCTGAAAGTAACATAAGGCTTCGTTTTAGACAAAATGTGCCCAAAGAAGAAATATTCTACACAAAATTTCACTATAAATCTCAGAATTAACCTTATTTCTAGATTTAATACTTTTCCAGAAAATTACATTCGAATTGTATGTACTACAAGTGAAAATTTTGTTTTTACGTTTCTTACTGCCAATTTAACATGTTTCCATTCTAAGATCAAAATCTCCCTTAAAACCACATTTTTGGGGAAAAGTGTTAAAGACAATCTTATTCATTATCAAATTTCCCTATAAATTGCCTAAGAAAAGAAATCTCTATTTTCATGGGATATCAAGAAAATATTTGAATCAATGTTTCCAAAATAATCGGGAAATATTCCTTAATTTGTTTGACCAATTTTTCCTCAGACTTTTTTCGTGTTGACTCCTGAAAGTAACATAATACTTCATTTTAGTCAGAATATGTCCGAAGAAGAAATATTCTACACAAAATTTCACTATAAATCTCAGAATTAACCTTATTTCTAGATATAATAGTTTTCAAGAAAATTACATCCGAAATTTAGGTACTACAAGTGAAAATTATGTTTTTACGTTTCTTATTGCCAATTTAACATGTTTCCATTCTAAGATCAAAATCTCCCTTAAAATCTAATTTTCCGGGGAAAATGTCAAAGACAAACTTATTAATTATCAAATTTTACTATAAGTCACCAAAGAACAGCAATCTCTATTTCGATTAAATATCAAGAAAATATTTGTCTCAATGTTGTCAATAAAAATGTGCTAATATTTGCCAATTTATCGATTAAGTTTCCTCGGACTTTTTTCGAGTTGGCGCCTGAAAATAACATGAAATTTCATTTTAGACAAAAATGATCAAAAGAAGAAATATTCTACACACAATTTCACTACAAATCTCAGAATAAACCTTATTTCTAGATTTAATAGTTTTCAAGAAAATTGCATTTAAAATTTATATTTCACAAATGAAAATTATGTTTTTACGTTTCTTACTGCCAATTTAACATGTTTCCATTTTAAGATCAAAATCTCCCTTAAAACCTCATTTTTTCGGCAAAGTGTCAAAGACAAACTTATTCATTATCAAATTTCACTATAAGTTGCCTAAGAAAAGAAATCTTTATTTCCATGAGATATCAAGAAAATATTTGCCTCAATGCTGTCAATAAAAATGTGCTAATATTTCCCAATTTATTGATAAAGTTTCCTCCGACTTTTTTCGAGTTGATACCTGAAAGTAATATGAAATTTCATTTTAGACAAAAATTGTCAAAAGATAAATTATTCTATACAAAATTTCACTATAAACTTCAGAATAAACCTTATTTCTAGGTTTAATAGTTATCCTGAAAATTACATTTGAATTGTATGTACCACAAGTGAAAATTATGTTTTTACGTTTCTTACTGACAATTTAACATGTTTCCATTCTAAGATCGAAATCACCCTTAAAACCTCATTTTTTGGCGAAAATGTCAAAGAAAAACTTAATCATCTTAAAATTTCACTATAAGTCACCAAGGAAAAGAAATCTCTATTTGCATGAGATATCAAGAAAATATTTGCATCAATGTTTCCGAAAAATGTGAAAGTGAATTTCCTACGTTTTTATATCAATTTTTCCTCGGAGTTTTTTCGTATTGATGCCTGAAAGTAACATAAGACTTCGTTTTAGGCAGAATGTGTCCAAAGAAGAAATATTCTACACAAAATTTCACTATAAATCTCAGAATAAACCTTATTTGTAGGTTTGATAGTTTTGAAGAAAATTTCATTCGAATTGTATGTACTGCAAATGAAAATTATGTATTTACGTTTCTTACTGCCAATTTAACATGTTTCCATTCTAAGATCGAAATCTCCCTTAAAACCTCATTTTTGGGAGAAAGCGTCAGAGACAAAATTATTCATTATCAAATTTCACTATAAGTTGCCTAAGAAAAGAAATCTCTATTTCCATGAGATATCAAGAAAATATTTACCTCAATGTTTTCGAAAAAAATGCGAAAATATTTGCTACGTTTTATATCAATTTTTCTTCGGCGTTTTTTCGTATTGATGCCTGAAAGTAACATAATACTTCGTTTTAGTCAGAATGTGTCCGAAGAAGAAATATTCTACACAAAATTTCACTATAAATCTCAGAATTAACCTTATTTCTAGATATAATAGTTTTCAAGAAAATTACATTCGAAATTTAGGTATTACAAGTGAAAATTATGCTTTTTCGTTTCTTACTGCCAATTTAACATGTTTCCATTCAAGACTAAAATCTCCCTTAAAACCTCATTTTTTGGAGAAGGTACCGAAGAAAGAAATATTCTAAATCAAATTTTAGTGTAAGTCTCTGAACAAAAGAAATTTGTATTCTAAACATTTACCCTAAAAAGATATAATTAATTTTGGCGTATAAAAATCCATTTTTATCTTTGACAAATTTTCGCTTTTTTCGAATTCGATGCAATTTTTTTATATTTTTACGGTACTTTCTCTCTACTGGGTTGTGGAAAGGTCCAAGTTGATACATGGGTACAAGGTTCGTAGATCAAAACCCCAAAAATATTTCGGGTTCTTATATCAAAATTTTTTGAAATAATTTATATGACCTTGACAATACACAATGTGACCCAATGTGTCTTGAAATATTTTGCAATATTGAATATAAATTTTTAAACATTTATAAAGAGTTTTGAATTAATTCAAAAATCATATGTTGTTATTGTCCCTATATTACTACTAAAAACTACTTAAAATCGGACTTAAGTAGTTTTTTTGCGGCTAATATTTTCCATTTTATTTCGCCACATTTTAGTATATTGAGTTCTTCATATGTTACAACGCTACTTGCAGAAATATCTACGTTTCGGTACAGCCCTTATATTGAGATATCCTCAGATTTTAGTTATTTCGACGGTCTTGGTCGTACTTTCTAATCGATCTGCCTACAAAAATTAAATTTCGGTTTTTTTTGAAATCTATAAATTTATATTATACTTATATAAAATACCTTTGTGAAGGTTTCTTACCTCCGGATGTAAATTTCGCGTTTTATGAGCTTCATGGATACTCAAAATTTTGACCCTTTGTGGGGGGGGGGTCGATATCAGAAGGAGTTGGCCGATATATATCCCATCTGACCATACCTTGGGTTAATAAAAATATTGTGATGTGTGAAATATGAAGAGAACCGGATGCATATTTCGGATTTATGATCGTTTTGGTTATTCGAAGTTTTGACCCTTTGTGGGGGAGGTACCAGAAGAAATGGTCCGATCTGTACCATCTTGTGTTGATGAAAATATTGAGATGTGCCAAGTCTGAATGGAATCGGATGTTTATTCCGTGAAAAATAAGCTTCATGAATATTCTAAATTTTGACCCTTTGTGGGGTAGGTACCAGAAGAAATGGTCCGATCTCCATCGTCTTTATAACACATGGTGTGTTGATGGAAATGTTCAGATGTACCAAGTCTGAACGGAATCGTATGTTAATTTTGTGTTTTATGAGCTCCATGAATATTCGAAAATTCGACCTTTTGTGGGGGAGGTACCAGAAGGAGTGCGCCGATATATTCCATCTTCACACCGGATCTTGTATTATTTAAAATATTGTGATGTGTGTAATTTGAAGAGAACCGCATGCTTATTTCGGATTTTATGATCGTTTTAGTTATTCGAAGTTTTGACCCTTTGTGGGGGAGGTACCAGAAGAAATGATCCGATCTCTACCATCTTTACGACAGATCTTGTGTTGATGAAAATATTGAGATGTGCCAATTTTGATTGAAATCGGATGTTGATTTTGTGTTTTATAAGCTTCATGAATATTCAAAATTTTGACCCTTTTTGGGGGAGGTAGCAGAAGGAGTAGAGCGATATACTCCATATTTATGCCAGACCTTGGTTTAATGAAAATATTTGGATGTGTGTAATTTGAAGACAATCGGACACATACATCACATTTTATCAGATTTATAATTATTCAAAATTTTGACCCTTTGTGGGGGAGATACTTAATGGAGAGGACAGATCTTGTCCATTTTCGCACATGACCTAATACTGATGGGAATATTAGGATTTGCAAAGTTGGAGCAAAATCGGGCTATCCTTTCTTTTTCTGTGCAAAAAAATATTTTTGTTTAAATTTCGACCCATTGTGGGGAAGGTACCAGAAGGAGCGGACCGATATATTCCATCTTCACACCAGACCTTGGGCTAATAAAAATATTGTGAGGTGTGTAATTTGAAAATAATCGGACTCTTACATCACATTTTATAGGAGTTATAATTATTCAAAATTTTGACCCTTTGTGGGGAGGTACCAGATGGAGTGGACCGATTTTGTCCATTTTGGCACATAACCTAGCACTGATGCAAATATTAGAATTTGCAAAGTTGAAACCAAATCGGATTATCCTTTCGTTCTCTGTGCAGTAAAATATGCAATTTTGAAAATTTCGCCCTTTTGTGGGGGAGGTACCAGAAGGAGTGGCCCGATATTGCCCATCTCCGAACTTGATATAAGTTTGATAATAATATTACGATGTACGACGTTTGAATCAAATTGGATACCCTCTTCGAGAGTTATGGTATTTTCAGCAGCCAGCAGACTGACAGATGGACGGCTGGACAGTCGGACGAACATCGCTAGATTGACTCCAAATGTCCTGAAACGGATTTGGTCCAAAGAGACTTAGGGTCTAAGATTGTTATTTCGATTAGATGACAAGTATGTATACCCTCTCTAGCCATATGGTTAAGAGTATAGAAAAATCTTCAAAAATATCCAAGCCCTATTATTTGGCGATTGAGATGCCATGTCCATGACCTTGACCTTGGCAGAGGACGTGGGTTCGGGTTTTAAAAATTAATAATTTATTTCTCCATTCTTTTTTCTTTCAGAGAAATATGTCGATCTAATAAAGGAATTTGGTTTGCCTGACCTGCCGCCGGGCATTAAAGCTGTTCCGGGTATTTGCGGCGATGAGAAGAACGCCTATCAGGTGCACAACTCGCCGGCTTACAGCATTACCAAGGATGCCATACTGACCGTGCAAACCTCTAGTGTATTTCCCGATGGTTTCCCATCCGATTTCTCCATAGTCTTGGCATTGCGTAACGAACGATCGAATCAAACGAAGGCACCGATATTTACGATTTACTCGGACGAGAGTGAAGAGGTTCTGTCGCTGAGCATTGGCCCGGAAATTAAGCTGGGCTATGAACAAAACGATGCGGGATTTAATCAACATAACGACATTAATTTCGGCATTGGCATCGATGACAATGAATGGCATCGCATAGGGCTGAGCGTTAAGGGTACTTCGGCGACCCTGAACTTGGATTGTACGAAACAGGTGACGCGACGCATTGAACGTTCGCTGGGCAGTACGATAGCCACGAATGGTTTGATTTTGACGGGTGTCCAGATGAGCAATGATGATGGCTTCTTTATTGGTGACGTACAAATGATGTCGATTTGGGATACGCCCCAGGCGGGTTATGATTTGTGTACGAAATATGTACCGGAATGTTTGGAGGGTTTTGATGCCTTTGGATTGGGAGGTGCGGAATTGAATGAATTTCTGTTGTCGGCTCCGGGTTATATTACATCCTCGAGCTCTAGTAGCAGTTTCTCCTCCGGAGGTGGAGGTAGTATTGGTGGTGGTGTATCAGGTGGTGGTATTGATGGTGCCCTTAATGCCTTGGAAGTGGGTGGGGGAAGTCTTCACATCTCAAGCGTTGGAGGTGGAGCAGGCCTGCATGGTATTTCCAGCAATTCTGGGGGAGGAAGAGTCCAAATATCTGGAGGTGGTTCCATGGGTACAGCCGGCCCTCGAATTGAGGGTCCAATAGTTACTGAAATAAATCTACAAACTTTTGCCACAAATGCCGAAGGTCCAGGAGGAGCTACCCAATTGCAAATGTCAGGTGCAAACGGGGAAGGCTCGCTGAACTTGGATTTGGGCTCCCTTATGAATTCGGCAGACAAAGAACCAGAACTGAACTCCCAGGAATTGGATGCAGAACAGCTACCGGCTAAAAATGGAACATCAGCGAAAAATCCGAAAAAGAAAAATAAAACGACAAAAAATTCGAAGGAATCTGCTGGGGAAAATATGTCCGAAATATTTGACATGGGTTTCACCGATCCATGGCTGACAATGAATTCGAATGGCTCAGCGGTTGGGAGACCTTACGAAACAGGAGGCCAGCCATGTTATCCCGGACCCAGAGGTTATACTGGTGTGCCCGGACCACCGGGTGAAAGAGGACCCAAAGGGGAAGCCGGTAGGGATGGCTTGTCCGGTACGGATGGTATACAAGGTCCACCGGGTCATGTTTTTGTGGTGCCGGTAAGTCTCAGTGCCTTTTGAAAGCTGCTTTCTTCTAACCTTCCCTTTCAATTTTCAGACTCTCAACAATGGCAATGAAAAGGGTCCTGACAACCAAGCCGAGCTCCTTAGGCAAATGATTTCCCAACACATGGTGGGTCCAAGTTTCGAATTACGCTTTCCGGAAATCTTTAACCCAAAATTTCCTATTTTTCTATTTCCTTAGATGGCTCTGCGCGGTCCTGAAGGTCCCATGGGTTTGACAGGACCTCCCGGTCCTCCTGGCGCTCCTGGTCCCAGGGGCCAGAAAGGTGAACCCGGTGATGCTGGCGAACCTGTAAGTCTTGCATTTGACCCTGCCATCAAATTAGTGAATTTCATTTAGAACATTTATTTGCGACAGGGTTTGCGGGGTCTACGTGGACCCACAGGTCCTCAGGGGCGAGAGGGCAGACGTGGTCGTTCGGGCCGTGATGGAGAACGTGGACCTCAAGGTCCCCAAGGCATAAAGGGAGAAGTTGGGCCAATGGGTCCCATGGGTATACCGGGCGAAAAAGGTCATCGTGGATCACCCGGTCAGAGGGGAGAAAAGGGCCAGCAAGGTGTCGAGGGACATCCTGGAGAGGATGGACCACCAGGATTGCCTGGTCTACCAGGTGAATTGGTAAGTTAGGCGAATTAAAAAAAAAAAAAAAAAAAAAAAAAAAAAAATTATAACCTCCTTCTTTTAGGGGCCCCGTGGCTTCCCCGGACCTCGTGGTTTTCCAGGGCCCACCGGCAATCCCGGACCCCAAGGCAACGAAGGTCCTGCTGGGCCTAAAGGCAATACCGGTCCCACCGGCCAACCAGGAGCTCCAGGTCAACAAGGACCATCAGGTCCACCCGGCTCCCCTGGACCCCAAGGTAAAACTGGCCCCTCAGGTATACCAGGCCCCAGCGGCAAACCGGGTTTACCAGGCCTACCCGGTGCAGATGGATCTCCCGGTGTTCCTGGGCTGCCAGGCCCACCCGGACATAAAGGTGATCAAGGGGTACAAGGTCCCCAGGGTCCAGTAGGTTTTCCCGGACCACGAGGCTCCAAAGGTGATGAAGGACCCCGTGGCCCTCAAGGTGATAAGGGCGATACCGGTGATCGTGGAATGGATGGTGAAAAGGGTGAAATGGGTCCACCTGGTGAGCGGGGACCAGCAGGTTTGGCAGGTGCTCCAGGACCCGAAGGCCCTGAGGGACCAAAAGGTTTTGAAGGTCCGCGTGGAGAAACTGGCCCTCCAGGTCTGCCAGGTGAAAAAGGCAAACAAGGTCCCCAGGGTTTCCAAGGTTATCCTGGACCATCGGGTGACAAAGGTGATAAAGGAGCCACAGGTGCAGCTGGCCCCGTAGGTATCAAGGGAGAACGTGGTCTCCAAGGTCCCCAGGGTGCCAGAGGTGAAATGGGACCCAGAGGTTTTAGAGGTTCACGTGGTAGACGAGGCAGTGATGGCAATCCAGGGCCCAAGGGTGATTCCGGTCAACCTGGCCCACCAGGACCCCAGGGAGAAAGAGGTCCACAAGGTGCTGAAGGTCCAAGGGGATTTATTGGTATGCCTGGTAGTCCAGGCGCAGATGGAAAACCTGGTCCCGCAGGCCCTCCAGGAGAAAGAGGTCAACCGGTAAGCGGACTTTTAAAATCGCAACAACAACAAGAACAACAATAAAACATTTAATTTTACAGGGTGAACCCGGAAAACCAGGTCCTATGGGTGAGGCTGGCGTAATTGGTCCGCGAGGTGCTCCCGGAGAAATGGGTCCCATGGGTGAGGCTGGTATTCCTGGTTTGCCGGGTCAGCCCGGTGAACCTGGTTTGCCTGGCGAATCCGGAAAGGAAGGACCCGCCGGGCCACCAGGTCCCACCGGCAATCCTGGACCACAGGGCCCCACAGGCTTGCCTGGTTTCCCGGGAGAGCGAGGACATCAAGGACAACCCGGTTTGCCTGGCTTGAAGGGTGAACAAGGTGTAATGGGTCCACCCGGTCTGAGAGGTGACAAAGGTCAAGATGGTGCCCCTGGGCAAATGGGTCCCCAGGGACCACCCGGACATACTGGGGCGCCTGGAAATCCCGGAGCACCTGGAGCTAAAGGAGAGGTGGGAGAAAAGGGCCCAATTGGTCCCATTGGACGGGATGGAACACCAGGCTTAAGAGGTTTACCAGGACCCCCAGGTCCCACTGGCACACCGGGTGATGATGGTGATAAGGGTGATGCTGGCATGCCGGGAGAGAAAGGTCTGAAGGGTAATCAAGGTGAAACGGTGAGTTATGGAAGGAAAAAAAATTGAAAGAAATCTAAAAAAAAATTTGTTACAGGGTCCCGCTGGTCCAGCCGGTCCCCAGGGACCAAGAGGAGAACCAGGCACCCCAGGTTCCCCGGGAGAAAAAGGCCCACCAGGTGACCAAGGCCACAGAGGTATCAAGGGCGAGGATGGCCAACCGGGTATTCAAGGATTGCCAGGAAAACCAGGTCTTCAAGGTTTGCCTGGCCCCGCTGGTCTCAAGGGAGAACGTGGAGATGATGGTCTAATGGGTCCTGTAGGTCCACCTGGACCACCGGGCGAACAAGGCCGAAGAGGGCCCAAGGGTGAGTAAGGAGAGATACAATTTGGGAACTATTTACTAAGGAATGGTTCTGTTGCAGGTATCCATGGTCACCAGGGCAAACCCGGCCCCCGTGGTTCTCCAGGTTTGACGGGTGCGGATGGTCCGCCTGGCGCTCCTGGTCCCGTTGGTCCCATGGGCCGGCCAGGCGAGAAAGGTGTTATTGGTCCCAAGGGAGAAGAGGGAAAATCCGGTCCAATAGGAGCACCTGGCAAACCGGGTATACAAGGCGTTGAGGGTCCAAAGGGTGAAATGGGCCCCAGAGGTTTCCCAGGAGCAAGAGGAGAGCCAGGTCTTATTGGCCCCAAAGGTGATGTGGGTCCCGAAGGTGAAGATGGCAAACCAGGTGAACCGGGTCCTCCAGGCGAACAAGGTCCCGAGGGTAGAATGGGTGAGACTGGCCCACCAGGCAAACAAGGCCCCGAGGGTCCTGCCGGTATGCAAGGCCCCGCCGGTGTACAGGGCGAAAAAGGAGATAAAGGTGATTTGGGCCCAGTTGGCCCCATTGGCATGTCGGGTCCTCCCGGTCCGGCTGGCTTACAAGGTCCTGCTGGCAAAAGAGGACCACAAGGTCTTGTGGGAGAAACAGGGGCCCCCGGTGCGGTGGGTCCAATGGGCAAGGAAGGACAAATTGGTTTGCCAGGACCCACGGGTCCTAAAGGTGATCGAGGCCGAAGAGGTCCCAAGGGCCATAGAGGTGAATTGGGCATGGCTGGCATGAAGGGAGAACAAGGTGAAAAGGGCGATAGAGGTCCAAGGGGACCACAAGGTCCAGAAGGCCTAAAAGGCGATCCTGGACCAAGAGGTCTAGTTGGCCCCAAGGGCAATGATGGTCCTCCTGGCCAGCCTGGCATGCATGGTCCCATGGGACCCAAGGGTGTGGATGGACGTGCTGGAGATAGAGGAGAAATGGGACCACCTGGTCCTCCTGGAGCACCAGGAGCACCGGCAGAGGCTCCAATGATTCCCCCTGAATTGCTGTTCCAAATGCAGCAGTACTCCAATACCAAGGCTGAGACGAGACGCCGGCGAGATGTGGATATGGCGGCCTTCGCCGAGGATGATGATGATTTGAATGAATTGATGGGGGCAGTGCCACAACAGAGAACCCCTGAAGAGCCAAAGAAACTCAAACGTAAAAAGAAGAAGCAAAAGCAGGATCAGGTCACTGAGGCCAGTGATAAAATTGTCGATATGTACAATGCCATCTATTCGATACGCCAGGAGATGGACAAGATAAGAAAGCCAACGGGAACTCAGGAGAATCCAGGGCGTACCTGTAAAGATTTGCATTTTGCCCATCCTCACTTTGAGAACGATTGGTATTGGATCGATCCAAATGGTGGCATGCCGGATGATGCCATCCATGTTTTTTGTAATATGACCAATAATGGAGAGACCTGTCTGTATCCTGATGTCCATACAGCGGAAATGCCTTTGGTGCCATGGAAATATGCTGGCGATAAACAATGGTTCTCGAAAATTCCGGGTGGTTCGAAAATAACCTATGATGGAGTGGGTACGGTACAGTTAACCTTTTTGAAAATGTCCTATTCCGAAGCTGTGCAAAATTTCACCTATTATTGTCGAAATTCGGTGGCATGGCATGATAGGGCGGGAAATAACTATGAAAAGTCCCTGACATTTTTGGGTGACAATGAAATGGAAATTGGCCGGGAGAGTAGGGGCGTAACGGTGCAGGTGGTGAAAGATGAATGTGCGGTAAGTAAACATGGATAGTTTAAACAAAGGAATTCCGAATTAATAATTTGTTTTCCATTGCAGAACACCCATGCCACGGGCTCCACAATTTTGTTGGTCAACACCAAACGTTTGAATTATTTGCCCATCAATGATTTCCTGCCCCTCGACTATGCCCGAGAGAATCAAGCCTTTGGTTTCAAGGTCGGGCCGGTGTGCTTCAAGTGATCTGGATGTACCATATTAGCTAGATGTGAGAATCTCTGTATACCAAAAAAAAATATTGAAATTAGGTTATCTTAAAATCTGTCCCACCCATCTGTCACTGCCATCTATAGTGTCATGTGTTTATTATTTCATTGTTTGTTTATTATTTTTTATTAAATAATTAATTATTTGATTTAAGTTCATAACATTAAGTTTAGTTCGTAAGCTGAGAGAGTCTTCTAGGTTGTAAGAATGAAAAAAAAAGAAATAATTTAGATCCAAGAGATAAATAAAAATATTAAATGCCATGATTTTTTATAAAAAAAATATGAATTTGTATTGAATTAAATATTCAGAGAGAAAGAGAGAGCGAGAGAGAGAGGAAGAACGGGAGAGACATTAATGTTAAGACTTTTCAATTTTTTCAATATTTACAGGGAAAATCCGGCAGATTATGAAAGTAGAGGTAAAAATCGAAGACACGTGTATCGGGGTCTTAGAAGTTTATATCGCAGAGCAACATAAATAGAGGGGAGGCAAGTTCTCCCCTTATCCACACATTTAGAAATTTTCAGATTAAGATTCCTCGGAATCCGTTGATTTTATGTAAATAGTGTCTTCGACAATATTGCAGACAAAAGTGCCAGGATTTTTTTTCTTAATAATTTTAACCCTCAGGCGAGTCACCAAAGGGGTTTTTTTGGTACTTTTTTGAAAATATGGCTAAAAACTCCCTTTAAACGGGGTCGTAGCAAATCAAAAGATTCTACAAAATTATTTGTCATAAAATTCTATAATAGGTCCTAGAAGACATCAAAAGTCTAAATCCTACCTAAACGCCGGGAATTCAAAAATATATAAAAAAACACATTTAGGGTTAAAGCCGTACTTTATGTGAGTTTGTGCAAGAATCTCCAATAAAGCACTATTTTAGAAGCACGATCTCGAACACAGAAATAGAGCTAAAAATAGAAGACACTTGCATCGGCGTTTTGAAAATTTACCAAGGCAGAGTAACCCAAAATAGAGGGGAGGCAAGTTCCTTCCTTCCACACTTTTAGAAATTTTCAGATTAAGATTCCTCGGAATTCCTTGATTTTAGGTAAATAGTGTCTTCGGCAATATTGCAGATAAAAATACCAGGATTATGTAAGTTATAAAATTTAACCCTCAGGCGAGTCAACAAAGCGGTCTTTTTGGGCCTTTTTTGAAAATATGGCTAAAAACTCCCTTTAAACGGGATCGTAGCAAATCAAAATGCTCTACAAAATTGTTTGCCATAAAATTCTACTAGAGTTTCTAGAAGACATTAAAAGTCTAAATCCTACCTAAACTCCAGGAATTCAAAAATATATATAAAAAAATACATTTTATGGTAAAAACCGTAATTTATGTGAGTTTGTGCAAGAATGATGTCAACACACAGAAATAGAGCTAAAAATAGAAAATACTTGCATCGGCGTTTTGAAAATTTACAGAGGCAGAGTAACTCAAATAAAGGGGAGGCAAATTCCCCCCTCTTCAACATTTTTTTTAATTTTCGAAATCAGATTCCTCGGAACCCGTTGATTTTAGGTATATAGTGTCTTCGGCAATATTGCAGATAAAAATACCAGGATTATTTCACTTAACAATGTTAACCCTCAGTCGAGTCAACAAATGGGTCTTTTTGGGCCTTTTTTGAAAAAATGACTAAAGCCTTCCTTTAAACGGGATCGTAGCAAATCTAAATATTCTACAAAATTGTTTGCCATAAAAATCGACTATAGGTTCTAGAAGACATCAAAAGTCTAAATCCTAAATAAATGCCAGGAATTCAAAAATATATAAAAAAACACATTTTAGGGTTAAAACCGTAATTTATGTGAGTTTGTGCAAGAATCTCCAAGAAAGCATTATTTTAGAAGCATGATGTCAACACACAGAAATAGAGCTAAAAATAGAAGACACTTGCATCGGCGTTTTGAAAATTTACAGAGGCAGAGTAATCCAAATAGAGGGGAGGCAATTTTCCCCTCTTCCACACTTTTGGAAATTTTCGGATTAAGATTCCTCGGAATCCGTTGATTTTAGGTATATAGTGTCTTTGGCAATATTGCAGATAAAAATGCCAGGATTATTTTGCTCAACAATTTTAACCCACAAATGAGTCACCAAAGGGTCTTTTTGGTACTTCTTTGAAAATATGATTAAAAACTCCCTTTAAACGGGATCGTAGCAAGTCAAAGTATTCCACAAAATTGTTTGTCATAAAATTCTACTAGAGTTTCTAGAATACATCAAAAGTCTAAATCCTACCTAAATGACAGGAATTCAAAAATATATAAAAAACACATTTTAGGGTTAAAGCCGTACTTTATGTGTGTTTTGTACAAGAACACAGAAATAGAGTTAAAAATAGAAGAATCTTGCATCGGCGTTTTGAAAATTTACAGAGGCAGAGTAACCTAAATAGAGGAGAGGCAGGTTCTCCCTCTTCCATTTTTTTTTTAAATTTTCGAAATAAGATTTCTTGGAAACCCGTTGATTTTAGGTATATAGTGTCTCCGGCAATATTGCTGATAAAATGCCAGGATTATTTTACTCAATACTTTTAAACCTCAGGCGAGTCGACATATGGGTCTTTTTGGTCCCTTCTTGAAAATATGATTAAAACGCCATAATTTTTACATTTTTTGAATGAATGAAAGCAAAAAAAGGCGGAAATAGCATCAAATTTTAGAATAAGTTTAGATTTTTTCGAATTGGTCACCTTTGGCACGAATTATGGCCTTCAAACGGCCAATGAAACCGTCACACGCTGCCCGAATGTTGGTCTGTGGTATTTTGGCTCATTCCCGGCGAAGCGCTTGCTTGAGGTGATCGACACTTTTTTGTACATTTTAGTGCCAACCTTGCTTTCCAAAATACTCCAGATACAATAGTCCAACGGATTGCTATCCGGAGTTTTTTGGTGGCCATTGTGCGCTGGAAATGAAGCGAGGAACTTCATTTTGTAACCATTCTTGGGTGGGGCGCACTGAGTGCGATGGTGCTGAGTCCTGTTGAAATGTTCAAGGTCTGCGGCCAAAATGTTTGCGGGCCCAAGGCTTTAATATACCCTCCCGAATATTTTCGCGATAATATTCGACATTTATTCTGATGCTACGGTCGATTAATACGAGCGGAGAGTGACCATCGGCTGTTATGGCGGTCCACACCATCACATGGCCGGCTCTTGAGTTCTGGTGGCCAACCGAAGATGCACATTCTCAGCTGACCTCTTTGGCAAGCGCCGATCACACGATCATTTTGTTTGCTTACAAACTGCTGGACAACAAATGTTTTCTCATCGGAGAGAGAAAAAACCAAATTCGGCAGTTCACAACTTTTGGCCAAGCGAAGCAACTCTTTAGCTCTTTTGAGTCTATTTTCTTTCTGTTGCTGTGTAAGTTCTTGCCCTTTTTGGAATTTTAATGGATTTACACCGAGCTCATTTTTCAATATTTGCCGAATAGAATATTGCGATATGTTCAGCTCAAGAGCCATTTTTCGACAACTGCGACGCGGGTTTTGTTCATGTCGCTTCTTTACTTTTCCAACCATTTCTGCTGATGTTGCTGTTTTCTTCCGTCTACTTCTTTGAGGTCGGGCTATGCTACCAGCTACCAGTACCACGGTAAAGAGATTTATTCACATTTAAATGCTGGAGTGTTCTAACGATGGAGTGTTCTACGAATATCTTTTTTTCTGGAAAATTCTCACCAAAATTCTTTTATACGCTTGTAAACAATAGAATGAGCTGTCACTGGAATAATTTTAACAGTTGTCGTGCGAGTGGCTTAGAAATGACAACAGTCTGAAGTTGGTTGCAGTTTTGACATTTCACCCTCTATATTAAAAACACAATTTAAAGCCGTACGCTATGTGAGTTTATGCAAAATCCGCTGCGAAATAGTCATTTTAAAAGGATGATGTCAAAGACAAAAATATTCCTCATCAAATTTCATTATAAGTCTCCGAAAAAAAGAAATCTCTATTTCCATTATATAACAAAAAAATATTTGATTCAAAGTTCCCAAAAAAACCCCTTTAACTATAACCACATTTTTTTTTGGTAAAATTTTCCCTGGACTTTTTTTGATTTGACGCCCGAATTTAACATTAAACTTCATTTAAGGCAGAGGATGTCAAAAGAAAAAATGTACTAAATAAGATTTTACCATAAATCTTAGAATAAATCATATATCTAGACTCAGCAGGTGTAATGAAAATTACATTCGTAATTTGTGCACTACAAGTGAAAAATATGTGTTTTCCCTTTTTCAAAGCTAATTTAAGACGTTTCGACTTCAAGTCAAAATCTTCCTTTATACTTAATTTTTTTGGAAAAACGTCAAAGACAAAAATATTAGTTATCAAATTTCACCAAAGAAAAGAAATCTCTATTTCCAGAAGATATCAGGAAAATAATTGGATCAATGTTGCCAAAAAATAAATAAAAATAAAAAATTTGTCATTATTTTTTAAAAAAAATCCTCCGTCTTCTTTCGAGTTGACCCCTAAAAGTAGCATAAAATTTCATTTTAGGCAAAAGCTGTCAAGAGAAGAAATATTCTTCACAAAATTTCACTATAAATCTCAGAATAAATTATATATCTAAGTACAATAGTTTCCAAGAAAATTACATTCGAAATGAATGTACTAAAATTGAAAATTATGTGTTTGCTTATTTTCTTCTTAATTTAAGACGTTTTCAATGCAAGTCAAAATCTGCCATTATACTTCATTTTCTGGGAAAAGTGTCAAAGACAAAATTATTCACTACCAAATTTCACTATAGGTCACCAAAGAAAGGTAATCCCTATTTCCATTATCTATGAGGATAATGTTTACATTAATGTGACGAAACAACCTAAAAACATTCCCTCATTTTTTGATACATTTTTCATAGTCCGCTTTTTATGTTGACAGTTGTAAGCTACATAAAATTCAGTTTTAGGTTGATGTTATCAAAAGAAGAAACATTCTACGCAAAATTTCACCATAAATCTCAGAACCAACCATACATCTAAGTACAATCGTTTTCAAGAAAACTACATTCGAAATGTATGTATGTACTACAAGTGAAAATTATGTATTTGCTTTTCTCTGTTAATTTAAGATGTTTTCAATTTAAGTCGAAATCTCCCTTAATACTTCATTTTTTGAAAAAAAGTCTTAAAGACACAATTGTTTATTATCAAATTTCACTATTGGTCACCAAAGAAAGGAAATCCCTATTTTCATTATCTATCAGGATAATATTTATGTCAATGTGGCG